GTGTTATGCACAAACAATGAATCATGGAACACTACATCCAAAACTAATGATGTAATGTATGGTGATTAACATAACAATAAAAAATTTTTTTAAAAAAATTAAGTGAATTGAATTGCTGGACACCCATATGGTGTCTGGATAACTGCAGAACTCACCTTTGGTATAGGAAAATATCCCAGAAGAAGGCTGACAGCAATATATACAAGAATATTCATCACTGCCCCCCAAATATCCTCTCCTTTACCAGTAAGTTCATACCCTCTCCTTTACCAGTATGTTCTCATGCAAGTGAGTTGACTACAAATTTCATTATCTCAAAACCATTTTCACATGTGGGTCTTTAAGATTTCAGAAACATTACAAGTCTAACAACAAAATCAGGCTTTATCGTGCAAACGGAACCTAGATCCTAGGTTCTCCTTTATACCGTACCCTTGTGGGACAAAACTAAAAACACTACATATATATATATATATAACTTACTAAGTAAATTGTCGAACATGTCTAAATCCAAATCTGTGGATCTCTTTTGCTGCTGGGCTACTAATTGGCAAAAGTCCTGAGCAGCTCTCACAATATCTGCTTTTCCATCTTCTGGGGAGAGCACCTTCACTGCCGATTGGCAATTTAAAACTGGAGGAAAAAATAAACAAGTTATTAAGTAAAACATCCTGTTCCAGACATATTTCAAAATCCATTTCAAGAAATATTAAGTTCAGACTAAAATAAAAATATAGTTCTTATAGTAAACAAGAATCATTTAAGTCCTTCAAATTCAATATCAAAACATACCTATCTACACTCCTCTAAAAGGACTCACACATCACATTTGTGTATGTATATTTATATACTGCCTTCCTCTTAGAGAGCTCAGAGACCTTGTATCTCTGAATGAAACCTCTAGAAAATAGGAATTAGAGGCTAGTTTACAATTTTCACTCATCTAAAATGTCATCTACAATCATAGTACAGTTAGCAATAACATAAGAGAAGATCAAAACGAAGACTGTAGGAAAAAAAATGTGTTTCAACGGAATAGGTATTGTCCACCTTATCAGATTCTGCTTCTATGGGACCTATCTTATAATTGATAGGATTCTAGGTAACTGACAGCAATGCCAAATTCTTATGTGTCGACATGCAAATTCTTTCTTGTCTGGTAGAGGTTCAATTATCTTCTCTGTAACCCCATAGAAAAACTAGTTTTGCCTCCATTTACATATTCATTTCAATATTCCTGATCTGTGTGTCCATTCTCTGGACTCTCTTCTGAACTGGTTACAAAATCTGCCTGGTTCCTGGTTGTTTATGAGTTAAATAAAATCTTTAACATGTGTTTATTTTTTAATATCTATGAAATTCATAATTTTATCTTTTTCCGAAAATTATCTTTGAACAAGAAGAAAGAAAAGTCTAAATCTGATGATTAAAGATGGTGACAGTAAAGACCTAGAGGGCAAAATGAATGAATGACAGAATTTGCCCTGAAACACAAAACACATCTGCATAAGTTAATGAATTTTACACTCATGCTTACCTTGATCATCTTTGTCATTACTATTTGCAAACTCTGGTGAGTATTTCGAACAATCTAAGCCCAAAAGTTCCTGCTGTTGTTTTAAAATTTCATCCATCAATCTGGAATTATTTCTTTTGAAAATACCTTAAAAAGAAAAAAAGCAAGGAAATCCCCGACTAGGTTAATTTATCCTCTTCAACAATTAATGGATGTTTGTTGTGAAAACAACACTGCTCCCAGAACTGAACAAATTCCAAATGAAGTAGGGGCTGATTCAACCTAAACTAGAATATAAAAGAAAAACAACAAAACTTTGTTAACACAACAGTCTGGAGTCAAGCTAATGTAAAAAAAAAAAAAAAAAAAGGACGGAGTGACTACTTAGAGTCAGTATGAATATGATAAAATTAGACCGAGAAAGACATTTTAAGACATCATTTACTTGAAACCTTTATTTACAGATTAAGAAACTGAGACCCAAAGTCCTGAAGAGATTTATCCAAGAATTTAAAAACTGCAGCAGTGATCTAGAGCCCATCTTCCTGACTCCCAGTCCAATGAACTTTCCTTGCAGATTCACTTTGTGCATTCAATACTATTACCTTAATTTGATTAGTTTTTTTTTTAAGATTTTTATTTATTTATTTGAGAGAGAGAGCCTGAGTGCACGTAGGGGGAGGGGCAGAGGGAGAGGGAGATTCTCAAGCAGACTCTGGGCCTAGCATGGAGCCCGATGGGGGCTTGATCCCACAACCCCGAGATCACAACCTGAGCTGAAACCAAGAGTTGGACACCCAACCAACTGCACCACCCAGGTGCCCCTTGATTTTTTTAATATTTTATTTGACAGAGAGAGAGAGAGAGAGGGCACAGCAGGGGGAGCAGCAGAGGGAGAAGCAGGCTCCCCGCCAAGCAGGGGATCGATGCGGGGCTCGATCCCAGGACCCTGAGATCATGACCTGAGCCGAAGGCAGCTGCTTAACCAACTGAGCCACCCAGGAGCCCCTTGATTCTTTTAATAAGAGGAACTACTATGAATTATGTAAAAAGTAGAGAGAATATACAAAAGTAACAAAACCAAAATTTAGTAAATTCAAACAAAGCATGGAAAATATACTACATAAAACTGTGTCTGATCCTTTAACCCTGCACAGAAGAGTTAAAACTTTCAATTGCTATTAGGTCATTGAGAAAGATGAAGAAACTATGTTTAATATAAAACTAATAAAGAGAACTTTAAAAATAAGTGACAAGTTTTTAGCTGTTTTCAGAGGGGCAGCTTTCTAGTGGCAGCTTTTTAACTTCTATCAAGTGTTCCTACTCTATACTGTCAGATTTGACTTTAAAGCACTTCAAGGATTAACTGGGAGAGAGAACACAGTAACAATAAATACAAAATAACACAGAATCTGCTGTATATACATGTCAATTTGGTGGTATATGTGTAACAGCAGTTCAAAGATAAAAAAAGCAGTCTCCTTTACTTTGTAGGGAAAGACTTTGTAAAATAAGCAAGACCTGAGCTGAGCTGACTTGAGAAACTTAAAAGAAAATGGAGAGGATACTGTTTTTAAGAAAAAACACTGAATACTCAAAAGACAGACAAATGTTGCTGGTGCAAAGGATTTGAGAAAAGGGGATACACCTAATTTTCATTTCATGTTGTCTACCAAACAGGTAACCAACAATTTCTAAGCAATGTGGGAATGGTGGAAATTTATAACTTTGGGAAAATTAACCTTACAACACTATAGAGAAAGTCAGGCAGGAGAGTACTGTAATAGTCCACTCATAACTTGATGAATAGTCCACTCATAACTTGATGAAGCAATGGAAGGAGTTCATTATAAAAGAACTGAGAGAATGAAGAGCATGACTTAATTAGAGGTGAACACAGAAAATTCCATGGCTTTAATCCTAACTAACAGAAAATGACTTTTTTTTAAAGGGGAAATTCTAGAAGAGAACGGGTTTGAAGGAAAATAAGCTTAGTTTTAGACAGCTGATGACAGAATATTTAGGCAGGGGGTACTGAAAAAGTGATTAAGAGACACATGAGGGAATGACATTCAAAAGAGGTCATATAAATACCACGTGGGTAGAGATCTTAACTATTTTGCTTACCAGGGACCAGCACAGTGCCTGGCATAGAACAGACACTCAATAAATAAATGTCTGCTGAAAGAAGACAACAGGTCAGACACTGGCTGGGGGACTTCAAAAGACCTCTTTAGGGTAAATGACATTTCAGCTGGCCAATGGGGGACTTCAAAAGACCTCTTTAGGGTAAATGACATTTCAGCTGGCCAATGAAGAATTAGGAGAATTCTACAGGGGCGAGGCTGGGAAGGTAACATAACACAAGATGGAGGATGGAGACGTAGACATACATTTGGGAGTCATCCGCCTCGAGGTGAAAGCCAAACATACACACAAGAAGTGACAAATAAGATCTCCAAAGGTAAGGAAGCATACATGGGGGAGAGCAGGGGGCTAAGGTTGTGGCTCCTTTATGAAAGCCCACAATCATAAGATCAAAAGCCAGGAAATATAAAAGTGAACATTGTATAGTACCCATATCCAGAGTGAAATTAAACAAAAAAACAGTCCCAAATACAAACAAAATTTTTAAAGAAAGGTGATTAATATCAGAAGCTATTTGAAAAACAATGTTTAGTATAGTAACACTTGTGCAATAATACAGATATGTAGGATATAAACATCTTCAAGTCAATCATAAAATTCACATGACAAAAGCATATACTACAAAACAACTATATTAATACAGACTTAGTAATGTTACAAGATTTCCAATTACTTATACAAATAAAAGATAATTTAGACCACACTTTGGTCTATGGAAGGCATATGAATTTTAAAAATAACGCAAAATCTCCACGACACCACTGCCAGGACATATGGAACTTATTAAAATGTTAAACAAATCAATTTCTCATATGAGCTAAGGTTATTCATTTCAATAGTAACCTACCAGTAGGAACCCTTGCTTTGGTCTATTTACACCGCACTGATCCCTTCCTTTGATACTCTAAAGACCTATGCTTCAGTTCTCACCAATGCACTCATCTTTGCCTTAGCTTCCAGATTAAAGTGGTAACACGTTACAGGAACTCCTGCTCTCTCCAAATCAATGGGTGATATTCTTTATCACCAAAACGGTTACCGCCTCTTCTCAATCTATATCCTTTCCTTCTCAATCTTTCTGAAGTGTTACCATTAATGACGACCCTGCTTCCTTTTCAAAATTCTATCCTTACCCCAGCTTGTCTGAATGCCCTTTCTTGGTTCCACTCCCAACATGCTCCTTGAATGGCCTCTTCTCGCTCTGCACTGAACCCTTCCCCTCTTCCCACCTGTAACTGGAGCTTACTCCTAGAGTTCCTATCTCTGCCCTCTCTTTCTGTCCACGTGCTCCTTTCTCTAAGTCTAGTCACCCACAGGACTTTACGACCACTTGGGGCGGGCCAGGACAAGGGTAAGATGAGTGAGGCAAAACTTAATGGGGCACCAAAAAAACCCAGTAATTAAGATAAATAATAACTTAATGCAGTATCTTTAACAACTTAATGCAAAAACATCCAAGATGAACAAAACATTAAAATTTTAAGTAAAAACAGGACCAGCATCTGATGAACAATTCTAGTTCATTCAAATTATCTAATTCTACCTAGAAGTTCTGTAAGCATCTGAAAATGAACCAACCTAAAACTTAGCAGCTTATCTTTTAAAGCTAGTTCTCAAACACTTACATCAAGTTTGTTTTTTTTTTTTTTAATGGAGCAGTACTATACGTGTAAAACTTACATGCACTTAGTGACAAGGCCTGGAAAGGAATAGGTAACATGAGAACAGTGAATGTATAAGGATGATGGGACACTAGGTGATTTGAAATCATAACTGCTATTAAACTATCTATATAATTAAAAGAAAAAAAAAAGGCATAGCCTTTCTGTTGTTCTATTTTTAATAAAGACATCACTATCTGCCCAGTCACCCAGGCATCTTCTCTACTCTCCAGTATTTTCACTACCACCTCCAATGCCCTATTAATATGCTAAACCCATATACTCGCCTACAGCAATATTTCCCATATCCATTTCCATTTGTTCCTTGTCCCCAACTGGTTTCAAGCGATACTCTTCTTTAAAATATTACAATCATCTTCCAATGGGTTTTCTTGCCCCTTCTAGCATGTATTACTAGATTGACAAGCAGATTAATCTTTGGGTTCATCTTCAATCCTGACATATTCCAATTTTAGTATCTCCAATGGCCCCCCAAATGCTTAATGTATTAAGAACATACTGCTCAGATCAGCATTAAGATTGTGCCTAGGGACGCCTGGGTGGCTCAGTTGGTTAAGCGTCTGCCTTCAGCTCAGGTCATGGCCCCAGGGTCCTGGGATTGAGTCCCGCATCATGCTCCTTGCTCAGAGGGGAGCCTGCTTCTCCCTCTGCCTGTCACTTGCCCTGCTTGTGTGCTTGATCTCTCTCTGACAAATTAATAAAATCTCAAAAAAAAAAAAAGGATTGCAGCCAATTGTTTCCACATTTGGTGGGTGGAAATAATTTATATTTATGAAAAAAATTAATCTATTTTGCTGTAGTACTCTTATTCCCAGCAAATCAGAATTGCCTTATGTTCCCCCCCAAAACATATGATGTGAGTCCAACCTCCATCCTTTATATTACCTTCCCAGCCCCATGCCTAATAAAACTCTTCAGAGGCCAGCCAAAATGTCACTTACCCTCAAGAAGCCCTTCCAAAATCCCCCCAGCCAGATATGCCCCATTCCTCCTCAGACTCACCCTCACTCCCTCCAAACTCCATAATAAACAATATTCTACTTATTATAACTTAATCCCCCTACTGAACTGTAGTCTTACTTACGAACTTGTGTCTTACTCATCTCTTTTCCCCTAAGGCACATTCCACATAGCAGGAGTTCTATGTTTATTTAATAAACTGAATTATCAGTGCACAAAGTGCCACCTAACAACAAAACCTAAATGGACATGTCACTGAATGGAATTTTTAAGACGTTTCCAGGAACCTCTCACAATAAAAGCAGGCACTTCCTTAATGCACACAGGCAGAAATTCTGTTAAAACGGAAGAATACAG